GGTACACATGGGGTGGGGTTCAGGTTGGAAGGTGAGTGGTGCAAGATGCATCTTGTTGTCAAGGCTTGTCCAACTTGTCCCATGTTAAGAACTAGCTACATACACCCTGGCCCTTTTCTTGATTGACTGGCACAGTTCTCACTTTGTGTTCAATTCTGGACATTTCCAAACGAACACTGTAGTATTTTTGGTCCTCTTATGTTGTAAACAAGCACTCTTGGGTGGTATACAACATAATTATGCAAAGAAAAAGTTTGCCCCCCAGCAAACTATAAACTATCTCTGGAGGCAAAAATGAGGAAACTGAGGCTATAACAGCCTCAGTTTCATCATTTTTGCCTCAAGAGATAGTTTATAGTTTATGTGCTTTGGGCATATCATGAGAAGGCAGGGTTCTCTGGAATTTGGAAGCTACTTGATTGCACATAATGTGTTCGTGTGTGTGTCTGTGTTGTGCTTCAGAATAACATGTTTAGTGTCATGTGCAGTTTCCCACTCTGCACTTGTAAACCAAGTTTTCAGCTTGTTTCACAATAGTGTAAACATATTTGAAAGTTTATTGATTTGGATCTTGATTTTGGATAATAATTTCTGACTTTTTATACCTATTGTATACCTGCAGTAAAGATTTATACTGAAAAGTGCTAATGAAGTCTCTTCGTGAAAAACCATCAGAGAATATAACTCTATACCTTTCCTCATCATTTGTAGGCTAACATAACTTTGTTTTCTTGCATGTTCAGTTGTTAAGTGGTGTTTCCCTTTGAACTGTCACTCTTTTTGTATCCATCTTTTTTAACTCCTCTTATCCACTTAGCAAAATGTGACCACATCCTTGTGTTACATCTTCTTATATGATGTGATATAATCCCTCCCTACTATTTCTACTGCTGAATGAATGAATTTAAGTCTCCTTTCCATGCATGCAAGTGGCAAAGGGGAAGTACTTGAATCTAGTACTCATAATGACACATTCTCATAATGAGAAAGCATGACTTTCTGTTACATTTGAATTCTTCAAAAGCTTCATCTAACTAATCATTGATACCATTGACTGCCATTTCTTGGAAAATTGTTTTAAGGATGAAAAACCTTATCTGGTACTAATAGGATTATGGAAGGAAAAGGCAATTGCATTGAAGCGGTGGATGTGAAAAGTACAAACATATTGGCAGATTTTCCTTGCTACTGCCTTTATACAGATGCTATTCAAACAGTTTGTATGTTCTTAGCTAGTTGCAAAATTGGGTAGAGTTTGCTTTGTAGCATTTGTAGTTGTCTTTTTGACAGCTGCACTTGGAAGGATAGCAAATACTGTAAATCTGAAGTCATACACGAGACCATTTTGTAAAATGTTACATAAAACTTATTAGATTTGTCACTGCCATTTTCCAGAGAGCAATCCACATCAGTCCAAACTCTTACCATAGTACATTATGTTCCTATGCGGTTCCTGTGTGGCATTTAGAGAAGGTCCTGATATAGCACTTTGTTTACAGTGGCTTTTCAAATAGAAAGTTCCATATTCTTTTTAAGCTTCTTGTTCTACTTAACCAGTATGATATAATGACAACAAAATCAAGGGCAGCATTACAATAGTGTAGTACAGCAGTCCATATCCATCTTCATTTACAGTCCATATCCATCTTCATTACAAGTGAAAATATTAATAATTAAGGATGTTAAAGTGAAATGATTATAAATGATTTAAAAAGATGCAAGATTTCATGTAAAAAGCATGAAAAGAAAAAATTGCTCTTGGCACATCCCTCTCACCCTGATCTTTTTAGTAATTAACCTTTATTGCTGGTAATTTACCCCTGTATTTAGAGTGATATGCCTTCTCTTAAGAAGAGATATTAATGTAATACATAGCAGTGTTTTCTGTGCTGCTAATTAGCTTATCAGGAAAACTGCTTAGGACCATCTCACTGAAATGTGATTTTATGTTAATACTTTTTTATGGGTCCTTTCTATTTTTTATTTGATGCCTGTGAATGATCAAATAGGTATATAAGATGAATTTTGTCCCCATATGTTCTTTCCCATGATCTAACATAGTCTTAGTTGTGACATCATTGTATTTAACTCACTGGGGAAAAAAGTGAACATTTTCAGAATCTTCGACAAATCAAAACAAAGAAAGGCACAATATATTCCTTTGAATATATAGCAGGAATCTAGTTTTTTCCTGACAATGTCCTGAGTATTTCAGTCCCTCCTCACTGCTTCTCCATTCCTACCGAAATCTTGTAGAAAAAAGGTAATATTGTCACAATAGTTTAAAGCTTGCGACAAGATTATTATTAGGTTTGTTCATACTTGGCATGTACTCAGATTGTGCTTATAATCACACCTGCTAGGTTTTAGTTGATCAGGGCCAGATAGTTGCATGATTAAGATAGCAGCTGAGGTGAGGTATTGTTATTGTTCTGTGCGGTCAAGTTGGAACCAACTTACAGCAACCCTAATATGACTTCAAAGTAAGTGAGATATTTAAGGAGTGTTTTTACCAGTTCCACTTCCCCAGTGAGTTCCCATGGCTGAGCAGGGATTTGAACCATGTTTTCCAGAGTCCTAGTTGATCACTCTTGTCCAATATACCACGCTGGGAATTAGGGCATATATACTTGAAAGAGAATCCAGACATAATGCCAGTTTCGTGCACATCCTCTGTGGCTGAGAAATATGAGCAAAAGAGTTGGAGCAAATATTTAGTGGCAAAAAGGCAGGCAAGCCAAAGGGGGCAATTATTTTGGCCATTTACTATGCAATTGGCATCAGATTGGGCATAGATGAATTCAAATTAAAACTTGGTGACAAGACGATATGAAGCTAAATGCATGGAAGCCCATCGTGGAATCATCTGTAGGGTGTTCAGCCACCAGAAGTTATTTAAATATGTTCCAGCTTGGATGACATTGCCATTTTCCACCTTCTGCCCTGTGTGATTGCCTGATCAGATGCAAATAGGCGCTCGTGGGAGTGTCAGTTCCTCTCAGCTGAGCATCTCGACTCTAAACCATTTTTTTAAAAAAAGTTTCAACTGGAACATACTATAGCTAGGAAACTTAGAAGAAAGAGAGAGAGAGAGAAGTGGAAATTGCCAGTTAGCACTTGCTACCACTTTCTGCTGTTGGATTTCAGTGAAAGCCAAGCTCTCTGCCTCTGTCCCTGCTGCCATCTGGATGTCATTGTCTGATGGCTGTAGTGATTTCACCTGTGGAAACTGCATTTTGCCTGCTGTATAATGATCCCCAAAATTAGCAAACTGAGATGAAGCAGAAAAGGAAGAAAAGATTATTTAGAACAAGACCCAGGTAGCCACTTAAGGGAGGCAGAAGTGTGACACATGACTTGAGAAATGCCCAAAATTGGACACATTTCAAACTGAAACAGGTTGTAAGAATCGGGTTGTTTAAAAGTTGAAACTTTGCAGGGAGAACAAACATACACTTTCTCCTGCAACTATGGAGCAGGGAGTAATTCATTCCCAGAGTCAGTAGTATTTAAGGAAATTTACAGATAGTGAATTTAATCCTGTGTCTATTCTCATTTCTGTGAAATCCAATGCAAACTCCATAAACGTGCTATTGAATATATTGTCCAGCTATCAGGAGAGATCGTTTTGCTACGGGAGAGGCATTAACCTTATGCTTAAAGTAGAATTTACTGTGATTTTCTACTGAAGTTCTTTGTTCACTTGCATTAAGAGTATGAGTAATGGTGGTTCTGATACAACAGAACTGTAAAACAGAGTCCTGCCCAGATTTCCAGATAATTTCAAGCAGTCACAAGGTGTTTAAAATAGTTGTCAGGGTTCCCCACAGCAACTAAGTGAAATCTGAAGCCTGAGAGACTTAACTTTGGCTTCTTAATGAACATGTGTATGTGCTTGTGTTATTTAGGGAGTTAGACTATGTAGGTTATGTTCTCAGTTGTGTCACCACTCCTGTAGAATACCTTCAAGTTATTTAGGATGCAAGAATATATATCTGTTAATCTAGAGTTGGGATTGCCATACAGCCATAATTTGTGATAATTGCCTGTGTGGCCAGGGTAGATCTGAGTCTCAGAGTTCAATAACGTACCTATTTTTATAGTAATAATTATTTGTTAGAATTATGTTTGATGCCTGATCTTTAAAAAATGTATCATATAAGAATTAGCTTCAGTGAATAATTTATACATGTGATTTCAAAATGGAAGAACATGTTTGCAGGTATACTTGATTATAATTATAGCTAAGTGAATACACTTGAAGAAAATATGTAGATGACCTTCCCTAGTAGATGTGTTTACCATTCATTTCATCATTATTTGTAATGAAGAAAAACAGTGATTCTACAGTACTTGAGATGATAAATATGAGTGGAGAGACACATTTATCTTAATAGGAGATGCCTGGTCTACTTAGAAAAGAGGCACAGATGTGAAATTTGAGCCAATAATTAAATTTTCAAATAATATCGCATAAGACAAATAAATGACAGCTCATTTTGATAGCGAGGAAGATCCACATAAACACGTTATGTATTAAAAGATGGTTTAAAACATTTTCATGATATAAATAAGTCTGTTGCTTTGTAACAAATAAAATATCAGTGTTATTTGCGGAATGTAAGGCATTAAATATTGCTTTAAATATGTGGTTATAATTAAACAATTTATTTAATGTAGTGCACAATTCAGCAGAGAAACCCACCTGACTTAATTATCTGTATTGATATGAATTACAACTCATATTATTATTCACTGTGTAGCATAATCCCCCCCATTCAGAACCCATATGAAAACCCAGTAGTTCCTAGTTTTACATAGGACTAAGAGCATTTTTGTATGTATGGAAAAATGGTTATAAAACATAGTTCTAAAAGGGGCTTTACTTCAGTACACAAACAGGAACTCTGAATATCTAGATTCTGTAAATAATAATTATGCAAGCCTATAGAATATGCTATTCTTTATCTTTAAGTGCTTTTTTTTCCTTCTTCCTATAGTTGCCGGACAAGTAATCGAAAAAGTTTAATATGCAATGGACAGTCTCCAGCTATGCCAAGGCCCCATTCGCCACTTTCAGCTCATGCAGGTAAACCCTACTGTTCTAATGTGTTTTAACTTTTAGAGGAAAATACTACTGTCTGAATCTTTTAATATATAGTTTCAAAACATGTAAGACATATTTTATGTGTGCTAACAATATTTGGGCTATTAGCTTTAGCATTAATTTTTAATCGTAGCAGACCTGACTGTTGTTGCTTCTGGGTTCTTTTTGAGAATTCTGCCAATTCCCATGACTAAATCACACCAGACTGGGAATGAAACTCGTTATATAACACTTTAACTCAGTAGTTAACTCAGTAGTTTAATTGGTTCATTAATAGGTCTTCGAGTTGAGCAGTTGGCATCAGAGATCTGTGTAGGGTTTAATGTATCCTTAGCTCTCCCAAATAGCCTACAATTTTTGGCTGATTTTGCCATTCAAGCCAAGAATTGTAGTTCTCGAAGTTCTTGCCAATCCATGACTGATTTCATGGTTTTCCTTCAGCAAACATCAGAGAAGGAGTCAGCAAGAGTGGCTGGCTAACCATTTTTGAGTGAATGGTTTCTTAACTCGAGGGATTTTGTCCAAATAGCAGAAGGTATTTGTCCACATTTTGCCCTTGGAAGTACTTGGTTCTGCCTCATAGGGGTATGGAAAATCAGAATGATCTTTTCACTGCTTCAACAAAGTTATCATAAACCCCTGGGACTGGACAAATATTTGATACAATTGCATCCAATGAGGTACTGGACTTCTGCCAATTGGCTTTTTAAAAAATTTATCTCCTGCACAATGGCACTGTTGATGATTAGACAGATGCTCTGTGTTGGAACATTATGGCCAATGCTCTGTGTTTGGAATGGGTACAGACTAACTTCACACATTACTGGGCTATAGGCTCACTAGCAAATACCATTTTGACATAACTTGTTTGCCATCTTCCACTAGTAAAAATGGGTGACATTTGCTATTATGAATAAAGGCTAGATGTGATATTTTTGTCTGTTTTGGCCCAACTTCTCTATTGTTATAATTGTGTTTATATTCCAAGAAATTGCTGTGGCAACTGAAATCTCCAATTATAAATTTATCTTTTGGTTATGAAAATTATCCAGGATGTTAAAGAAAAAGGTTGTGTTAGGTGGTTTATAAGCACGGGCTGCAGTGCAATTGCTGTTATTCTATCTGCATCACCTTGTTCTGTTACAGCAGTGCATATTTGGAGGTCAGATTTTCTGGTGGTGATTGTAGTTGCTGTATTAGTCTCTTCTGAAAAAACAAAGACAACTATAGTACATTAGAGACTAACCTGTTTATTTGACATAAGCTATGGTAGATTGTAGTCCATTTGCCTTTGATGGAGTAAGCTACCATCCACAAAAGCTAATGCCAAATAAAACCTATTTGCAAACTTAGACTTTAGTAAATCTCATTTCCACCAGCCTCAGCCCCCTGTTTGGACTCTGGGAGGAATGATAATAATGTACTTTATCTTACAGAATTATATCTTATTTCATGGTTTGAGCATTCAAGTAGGAAATATCAAGTAATAAAAGGAGTATCGCTAAATGGAATTTGTTTAAAATAAACATATTTAGAATGTAGCAGTTGAAGCCAAAGAAAATATTCAAATGTTTTACAAAAAAGGCCAAGAGTTACAGGGGAGATGCTTCTTTTCTGTGGATTTTGCTTGTTGTAGCTTTATGGAACAAAAGTCCAACTATGTTCCTTGCATGCCTGCAAAAATATTTGGTCATTTAACAGGATCTGTTTTGCTGACAGAAGCAGCTTGAGACTACCTTTATGGAAAGAAAATGTTTACAAGATAGTGTGTACAAGATAGTGAACTGATATGGTAGAAGCTGCTTCTATGGATTGTAGTAAAGGTCAGAATGTAGTAGGTCATCCTAAAAAACCTTTAACCTGCACTTTTAATTAAACAGCACCTAAATATATTGCCTGTGGACTTTGTTTCATGTCTTCTCCCTCTAATCTTTCTTCTAATCTGCTGGCTGAAGTATCTGACTGTGTTGGCAGAGGTTAGGAGATTGATTCCCCTCTGTGCCTTCTGTGAGTAGAGCCAGCCTCTGTAGCCTTGGGCAAGCTGCACAGTCCCAGGGTGCCCCTAGAATAAGGGAGTGGTAAACAACTTCTGAGAATCCTCTGTCTGGAAGACAATTCACTTGATGACACTTGATTTTGTTTTCAATAATTTTTCAAAGAAAACCAAGTCACACCATGCTGCAAACAAAATGTTTACTACTTCTGCGAGTCACATTTTCGTTTTTTAATATATTTGTCATTTAGAGTTGGCTAGTGAGTGAGAAATGAATAAGGAGAAACACCGAAGGCCCAGAGTTGTGGCTGACATGACAATATAAGTAGAGATGGGGGTATTCCTATACAAATACGAATTCCCATGCAGGTGGAAATAACGAGGGTCCACCCCCATGGGGCCGGACTGTCCACTCACAATTTTGCCACTGCTGCTGGCTCCACAGTGCCTTCCTATCACACCGTTGTCCATGGTTGATTACCCAGTCCTGACAGGAGGCGGGATGACAAGCCTCTCTGCTAGGCTGGAGAGTGGCTAATTCATTGTGGAGAATAGTACAGTGGGGTCTCGACTTAAGAACTCAAGCCGTATTGGAAGGCAGTTCTCAGGTCGAAAAGTTCTTAAGTCGAATCTGCATTTCCCATAGGAATGCATTGAAAACCATTTAATCCGTATCTGCTCTTTTTGTCCATAAAAACTAATGGGAAGCTGCTATTCCGCCTTCTGCCACTAGAGGGGGATATTTTTCTTTTTTCCTTTTAACCTAAGATGACTTAGCTTTTAAAAAAAGGAAAAAAAGAGTTCGTAACTCGAATCTAAGTTCGTAAGTCGAGTCCATATATTCCTATGAGAGCGGTTCGTAAGTCGAAACGTTTGTATGTCGAGCCATTCGTAAGTCGAGACCCCAGTGTACAATAGAAAGCTGCTGTGGAGCCGGCAGCAGCGGCGAAATTGTGAGTGGACAGTCTGGCCTCATGGGGCTGGACCCTCGTTATTTCCACCTCCACGGGGATATTCGTATTCATATAGTAATATGAATACCCCCATCTGTAGTCATAAAGTAGCAGATGCATAGTCCAAGTGAAGTAGGGTAATATACAACAGCGCACCACATTTGCAGAAAGCAAGAAAGTGAGGGGGAGTGAACTCTTAATAGTATTATCCAATCCAATATCTCACCTAGACTGCTTTTGTGTTCCACTGGCGGTACATGTATGACTAGCTGAAAGCTAATGATTTCTAGACCATTGAATGGAACATATTTAAGTTTGTTTCAGAAGAAGCACACACATCTGAGGTGGTTCATCAGACAGCAAGAATGTAAGCTCAACCCTGCTCAGTGGAAGGGATAAGAACTGTTGGGTATAGGGGAGTGCACTGTGCTAGCTGTCCTGTAGAAGGTCAATGTTTGCTTCTGTCCGACTGTTAATGCTTTGTTTTGCTGTAGATTTTGGTTGGGTTTTAAAAAAAAACCCTAAACCTTTGGTGTGACATACAGTCATGGCCAAAAGTATTGGCACCCTTGCAATTCTGTCAGAAAATGCAACCCTTCTCTCAGAAAATTGTTGCAGTTGCAAATGTTTTGGTACTCACATGTTCATTTCTTTGGTTTGTGTTTTGGTACTCACATGTTCATTTCTCTGGTTTACATTGTAACAACACAAAAACACAGAGAATCCCACACAGAAACCCAAAAATGCACTGGCCAAAATTATTGGCACCCTGTCTAAATTGTAAGAAAGAATTGCTTTTCAAGCATGTGATATTCCTATACAGTGGTGCCTCGCAAAACAAATTTAATTTGTTCCGCGGTTAATGTTGTCTGGCAAAAAATTCTTCTTGTGAAACGCGTTTTTCCATAGGAATGCTTTGAAATCTAATTAATGTGTTCCTATGTGCAAAAAAAGTCAGAACAAAGTCAAATTTGGTTTACAAAGGGTTTATTAAGTGCTCTTTAAAGCCATACATATTGTGTAGGTGATTTCAAAAATTTCAATAAAAAAACTTTAACTTTTTAAACATCATAGAAAAACATTTAAAAATCGGCAGATATGAGGCAGGAGCAAAAAACAGAAAACATTTGTCTTGTGAAGCATAGCCATAGGAACATTTGTCTTGCGAGTTTTTTGTCCTGCGAGGCACCACTGTAATTTATATTTAGACACACCTGTCACAAGTAAGAGATGTGGGCAATATAGTAATCTCATTTGCAACCAGTTAAGATGGAGAAAGGTTGACTCAACCTTTGTGTTGTGTGTGACACTGAGCATGGAGAAAAGAATGAAGTGTAAAGAGTTATCTGTGGATTTGAGAGAAAAAAATGTGGAAAAACATCAACAATCTCAAGGTTACATCTCCAGAGATCTTAGTGTTCCTGTGTCCACTGTGTGCAGTATCTTCAGAGGTTTACAGCCCATAGCTAACCTCTCTGGATGTGGACGGAAGAGCAAAATTACTGAAAAATTA